TTATCATCATCATCAGCAGCATCATCACCGTCATCGTCATTGTCATCGCCATCAGCATCTTCATCGTCATCATCGTCATCATCGTCGTCGTCATCGCCATCATGATCATCTGCCGCAACAGCATCATCATCGTCGTCATCGCCATCACCATCATCAGCATCATCAGCAGCGGCATGATCGGCATCATCATCATGACCATGGTCATCATTATCATCATCACCGTCAGCAGCATCGTCATGATCATAATCATCATCAACATCATCATAATCATCATCAGCAGCATCCTCATCATCATCAGCATCATCAGCATCACCATCATCACTCATCATCATCATCAGCATCATCAGCAGCATCATCACCATGATAATCCATCATCATCATCAGCATCAGCATCAGCATCATCGTCATCATCGTCATCATCATCATCGACGACGTCCTTCCCAGCATTCTGACTATCGTCATCATCATCATAATCATGGCCACTTCCGGGGAGGGGGGCGGCAGCGGCGGCGCTGTGCTGCACTCGAGTGCACACGAATGGGGCTAGTCGGCGCGACTTCTGCGGGGGGCCGGTCGCATGTGCCTTGCGGTCCAGACTGGCGCATCGGATGCTCCCGTGCAAGGTTGCGAATACATGGGCAATGGTTGCGAATGTGTCTGGGGACTTCATGGCCTTCGCCTGCATCAGCAGAAAGCAGATGGGCCTGCAACAGTGCCTGAGAGCCGATCACCAAGATTGACCGTCACACGTGGTCGATCCTGATAAGGCCACGGGCTCCCAGCAATGCTGATAAGGCTATCGCAGGCAGCGTGTAGCGTCATTCCAAGCAGCATCCGCTCGAGTCGCCAAAGCCTGATGAACCAGTTTCACTGAAAATCTACGAATGCCCACACGCTCAGGCGCATTTCTATAAGGAACGGCACATGATGCGGAGTCACTGGCTTCGAGGAAGCCCAGCTGCGCTACCTTAAAAACCTGTGGCATCGCTTGAGAAGCAGACAGCGCGGTCACATCTCGCGTACCTAAGCAAAGCTTCCTGGACCTCACAGCCCCTTAAGCTCACAGCTTCCCAACGGTGAGCATGCGGGCCAATCCCGCCACGAAGAAGAAGACGAAGAAGACCGAGAAGAAGAGGCCCGCCTTGTTGAGCTCCTGGCGTAGGAGGTCGCGCGCTACCCACGAGGCCCTCCGCCCCCCTGGGATGCGAGGGACTGCCAGCTCAAGGGTGAATGCGCATCCTTCGAAGTCGTACTGGTCAGGTGCATCCGGCTGCTTGAATTGGAAGCGGCGCGCGATGTGTGCAACGTCGACCCCCGGAAGAGCAGGAGAGCCCAGAATCGAATCCACGAGCCGGATCGGAGATGGAAATGAACTGGATCGGCGGGTATCGGCAGCCAAGTTGGGCGACGTCGGATCGGCGGAAATCAGAGAAGTCGAAATCCAAATCGAAATTCGAAGTCGAATCGAGTCGGAATAGGAATCGATCAAAATCTGGTCGAATCGAGACGGAGGAGTCGAAAAATAAGCCCTGGAAGAAGGCGCACAACCGACAGGGGTGAAGCCAAACCTCCTCTCCCTCCGGCCCCTGTCAATGCCTGCAGGCTCGGGTCACGCCTCCGCCGACTGGCTGCGCGATCCTGGCATGCCATGCCCCCCGCCCCCGAAACTTGCACGCTGGGTAAGCCGATCCACTGTCCTCGCCCCTCCCCCTCTAGGCTGGAAGGTCGGGGCCCGGGTGGCTTTTGACCGCCTGGCAGGGCGGAATATCAATACTGACCTAACGGGTGTTTTTGAGCTCAAGCTCCATCCTTGCGGCCCCTCAGACACGCGGCGCTGTGGGGCACGACGCTTCCTCCTGCCCACTCGATCCGATCCGATCCTCCCCCCCTCTCCTCGTGGTCCCAGTCCTCTTGGAACTCGCATGCGCTCCCACGCGCCTCCAGAGGGCCTCCGAACGCCTCCCGACAGGTTGGGTCGAGGTCCTGCGGTTCCAAGACCTTCATTGGAGGCCTCCCAGGTGGGGTCTGAGCAGATGGGGTCGGAGGATCGCGCCGCATCGGCGACGTCTGCGATGCATCGGAGACGTCGGCGTGGAGAAAATCGGGATCCACATCGAGCCGCATCGCCGATGCCTGCGGCGATGCGATGTGCATTTTCGGCACCCGATGCATAAATGAAGAAGCGGCCCAGAAGGAGACAGGGAACGCAAGCTTTGAACCATGGTGACCCTCTCCCTCTCCAACGACTGGAACTGGTGCTGCCCCACGCGAGGGGGGAAATGAGAAGGGGCGGGCCTTCTCAGAAGGCTTCTAAACCTCCCCCGAGGGCGCGAGGACTCCTGAGAAGGCCCGCCGCCTCCTGAGAAGGCCTTCTCCTTCTCGATTCCCCCCCTCGCTCGCCGCCGAACCTGAGCACCGTGGCCAGCGCCAGGGCCCACGGGTCTCCTGCTCCGACCACGCCGCGGCCGGCTCCGGGACCGCCCCCGCGAGACCGCCGTACCTCGGCACCGCGGGCGAGCCCGCGCTCGCGGGGTCAGGGAGGCAAACGCCGACCCCGTCGGCAGCAATCCACGCAACGGGGACCCGTCGCCGGTCGTCGGTCGCCGGTCGTCGGTCGTCAGTCGTCGTTGTCGTCGGTCGTCGGTCGTCCGTCGTTCGACGTCCGTCGACGGTCGTCGTCGTCGTCGTCGTCGTCGTCGTCGTCGTCATCGTCGTCGTCGTCGTCGTCATCGTCGTCGTCGTCGTCAACGTAGGTCGTCGGTCGTCGGTCGGTCGTCGTCGTCGTCGGTCGTCGGTCGTCGTGGGTCGCCGGTCGTCGGTCGTCGGTTGTCGGTCGTCGGTCGTCGGTCGTCGTCGACGTCGATCGTCCGTCGTCCGTCGTCAGTCGTCAGTCTTCCGTCGTCATCGTCGTCGTCGTCGTCGTCGGTCGTCGTCGTCGGTCGTCGTCGTCGTCGTCGGTCGTCGGTCGTCGGTCGTCGTCGTCGTCGGTCGTCGTCGGAAGACGTCGTCGGTCATCAGTCGTCGATCGTAGGTCGTGGGTCGTCGGTCGCCAGTCGTCGGTCATCGGTCGTCGTCGTCGTCGGTCGTCGCTCGTCCGTCGTTCGTCGTCCGTCGTCTGTCGTCGTCGTCGTCGCCATCGTCGTCGTCGTCGACGTAGGTCGTCGGTCGTCGTCGTCGTCGTCGTCAGTCGTCGGTCGAAGGACGTCGTCGTCGGTCGTCGGTCGTCGGTCGTCGGTCGTCAGTCGTCGGTCGTCGTCGGTCGACGGTCGTCGGTCGTCGGCCGTCCGTCGTCCGTCGTCCGTATTCAATCGTCGTCGGTCGTCTGTCATCGGTCGTCGTCGTCGGTCATCAATCGTCGGTCGTCGGTCATCAGTCGTCAGTCGTCGGTCGTCGGTCGTCGGTCGTCGTCGACGTCCGTCGTCGATCGTCCGTCGTTCGTCGTCCACCGTCCGTCGTCGATCGTCCGTCGTTCGTCGTCCATCGTCGGTCGTCGGTCGTCGTCGTCGTCGGTCGTCGGTCGTCAGTCGCCCGTCGTAGGTCGTCAGTCGTCGGTCGTCGTCGTCGTCGGTCGTCGTCGTCGTCGGTCGTCGGTCGTCGGTCGTCGAACGTCGGTCGTCGGTCGTCGGTCGTCGGTCGTGGGTCGTCGTCGTCATCGATCGTCCGTCGCCCATCGTCCGTCGTCCGTCTTCGGTCGTCGTCGTCGTCGTCGGTCGTCAGTCGTCGGTCGTCGGTCGTCGTCGTCGTCGTCGTCGTCGGTGGTCAGTGATCGATCGTCAGACGTCGGTCGTCGTCGTCGTCAGTCCTCGTCGTTGTCGTCGGCGGTCGTCGGTCGTCGTCGTCGTCGTCGATCGTCCATCGTCAGTCGTCCGTCGTCCGTCTTCCGTCGTCGTCGTCGTCGGGCGTCTGTCGTCGGTCGTCGGTCGTCAGTCGAAGATCGTCGGTCATCGGTCGCCGTCGACGTTGGTCGACGATCGTCCGTAGTTCGTCGTCCGTCGTCGGTCGTCGGTCGTCGTCGTCGTCATCGTCGGTCGTCGGTCGTCCGTCGTCGGTCGACGAGCGCCGGTCGTATGTCGCCAGTCGTCGGTCGTCGTCGACGGTCGTCGGACGTCAGTCGTCGAACGTCGGTCGTCGTCGTCGGTCGTGGGTCGTCGTCGTCGTCGATCGTCCGTCGCCCATCGTCCGTCGCCCGTCTTCCGTCGTCGTCGTCGTCGTCGTCAGTCGTCGGTCGTCGGTCGTCGTCGTCGTCGCCGTCGGTCGTCGTCGTCGTCGGTCGTCGGTCAAAAGTCGTCGGTCGTCCGTCGTCGTCGTCGGTCGTCGTCGTCGTCGTTGTCGTCGTCGTCGGTCGCCAGTCGTCGGTCGTCGGTCGTCGGTCGTCGGTCGTCCGTCGTCGATCGTCGTCGTCGTCGTCGATCGTCGGTCGTCGGTCATCGATCGTCGGTCGTCGGTCGTCTTCGTCGTCGTCGGTCGTCGTTGTTGTCGTCGGCGGTCGTCGACGTCGTCGTCCGTCGTCCGTCGTTCGGCGTCGGTCGTCGTCGTCGGTCGTCGTCGTCGTCGGTCGTCGATCGTCAATCCTCGGTCGACGGTCGTCGGCTGTCCGTCGTCGAACGTCGGTCGTCGGTCGTCGGTCGTCGTCGTCGTCGTCGTCGGTCGTCGGTCGTTGGTCGTCGTCGTCGGTCGTCGGTCGTCGTCGTCGCGGTCATCGTCGTCGTCGTCGGTCGTCGGTCATCGGGCGCCGGTCGTCGGTCGTCGTCGTCGTCAACGTAGATCGTCGGTCGTCGGTCGTCGTCGTCGTCGGTCGTTGTCGTCGTCGGTCGTCGGTCGTCGGTCGTCGGTCGTCGGTCGTCGATCGTCGTCCTCGTCGTTGTCGTCGGCGGTCGTCGGTCATCGGCTGTCGGTCGTCAGCTGTCCGTCGCCAGTCCGGTCGTCTGTCATCGGTCGTCGTCGTCGGTCATCAACCGTCGGTCGTCGGTCATCAGTCGTGAGTCGTCGGTCGTCGGTCGTCGGTCGTCGTCGACGTCCGTCGTCGATCGTCCGTCGTTCGTCGTCCACCGTCCGTCGTCGATTGTCCGTCGTTCGTCGTCCATCGTCGGTCGTCAGTCGTCGGTCGTCGTCGTCGTCGTCGTCGGTCGTCGTCGTCGGTCGTCGGTCGTCGGTCGTCGTCGTCGCGGTCGTCGTCGTCGTCGGTCGTCGGTCGTCGGTCGTCGGTCGTCGTCACCATCAGTCGTCCGTCGTCCGTCGTCCATCGTCCGTCGTCAGTCGACGGTCGTCGTCGTCGTCGTCATCGTCATCGTCGTGCGTTGTCGGTCGTCGGTCGTCGGTCTTCGTCGTCGGTCGTCGACGGTCGTCCTCGTCGTCGTCGTCGGTCGTCGGTCGTCGGTCGTCGTCGCCGTCAGTCGTCGGTCGTCGTTGTCGTCATCGACATCGTCGTCGCTCGTCGGTCTTCGGTCGTCGGTCGTCGGTCGTCGTCGTCGTCGGTCGTCGGTCGTCGGTCGTCGTCGCCGTCAGTCGTCGGTCGTCGTTGTCGTCATCGACATCGTCGTCGCTCGTCGGTCTTCGGTCGTCGGTCGTCGGTCGTCGTCGTCGTCGGTCGTCGGTCGTCGGTCGTCGTCGCCGTCAGTCGTCGGTCGTCGTTGTCGTCATCGACATCGTCGTCGCTCGTCGGTCTTCGGTCGTCGGTCGTCGGTCGTCATCGTCGTCGATCGTCGTCTTCGTCCGTGGTCCGGCTGCCGTCGTCCGTCGTCGTCGTCCGTCGTCGTCACCGTGGTCGTCGACGTTGTCGTCGTCGTGCGTTGTCGGTCGTCGGTCGATGGTCATCGTCGTCGTCGTCGGTCGTCGTCGTCGGCGTCGTCGGTCGACGGTCGTCGGTCGTCGGTCGTCTGTCGTCGGTCGTCGTCGTCGGTCGTCGGTCGTCGTCGTCGGTCGTCGGTCGTCGTCGTCGGCGGTCATCGATCGTCCGTCGTTCGTCGTCGGTCCTCGGTCGTCGGCCGTCGTTGTCGTCGACGTCATCGTCGTCGTCGTCAACGTAGGTCGTCGGTCGTCAGTCTCTGGTCGTCAGCGTCGTCGTCGGTCGTCGTCGTCGTCGTCGTCGGTCGTCGTCGTCGGTCGTCGGTCTTCGGTCGTCGGTCGTCGGTCGTCGATGATCGATCGTCGGTCTTCGTCGTCGTCGTCGGTCGCCGGTAATCGGTAATCGTCTTCTTCGTCGTCGCCGGTCGTCGGTAATCGGTCATCGTCGGTTGTCGGTCGCCGTCGTCGTCGCCGTCGTCGTCGGTCGCAGGTCGTCCGTCGTCCGTCGTCGGTCGTCGGTCGACGGTCGTCGGTCGTCGTCGTCGGTCGTCGGTCGTCGTCGTCGTCGTCCGTCGTCCGTCGTCCGTCGTCGGTCGTCCGTCGTCGGACGTCGGTCGTCGGTCGGCATCCGTCGTCCGTCGTCGTCGTCCGTCGTCCGTCTTCTGTCGTCCGTCGTCCCTCGTCGTCGTCGTCGACGTCGTCGTCGTCGGTCGTCGGTCGTCGGTCTTCGGTCGTCGTCGTCGTCGTCAGTAGTCGTCGTCGTCGTCGTCGGTGGTCGTCATCGTCGTCGTTCGCCAGTCGTCAGTCGGACGTCGGCCGTCGTCGTCGCGGTCGTCGTCGTCGGTCGTCGATCGTCGTCGTCGGTCGTCGGTCGTTGGTGGTCGGTCGTCGGTCGTCGGTCGTCGTCGTCGTCGGTCGTCGGTCGTCCGTCGTCTGTCGTCCGTCGGCCGTCGTCGTCGTCGTCGTCGTCGCCGTCGTCGTCGTCGTCGGTCGTCAGTCGTCGGTCGTCGGTCGTCGGTCGTCGATCGTCGTCGTCGCTGTCGTCGTCGCCGTCGTCGCCAGCGGACGTCGGTCGTCAATCGTCGGTCGTCGTCGTCGGTCGTCCGTGGTCTGTGGCCAATGGTCCGTCGTCCGTCGTCCGTCGTCGTCGTCGTCGTCGTCGTCGTCGGTCGTCGTCGTCGTCGGTAGTCGTCGTCGGTCGACGTCGTCGTCGTCATTGGCCGTCGTCCGTCGTCGTCGTCGTCGTCGGTCGTCGGTCGTCGGTTATCGTCGTCGTCGTCGGTCGTTGTCGTCGGTCGTCGGTCGTCGTCGTCGTCGTCGTCGGTCGTCGTCGTCGGTCGTCGGTCGTCGGTCGTCGGTCGTCGGTCGTCGGTCGTCGTCGTCGTCGGACGTCGATCGTTCGTCGCCCGTCGTCCGCCGTCCGTTTCCCATCGTCTTCATCATCGTCGTCGTCCGTCGTCGGTCGTCGGTCGTCGGTCGTCGTCGTCGTCGGTCGCCGGTCGTCCGTCGTCCGTCGTCCGTCGTCCATCTTCCGTCGTCGTCATCGTCGTCGCCGCCGGTCATCGGTCGTCGGTGGTCGGTCGTCGTCTTCGTCGGTCGTCGGTCGTCCGTCGTCGTCGTCGTGGATCGTCGATCGTCCGTCGTCGGTCGTCGGTTGTCGGTCGTTGGTCGTCGTCGTCGGTCGTCGGTTGGTCGTCGTCGTCGTCGTCGTCGGTC